TTCCAGTTCAGGCTGTTGAACCCCCAGAGCTAAAGACACGTTGAATCCCATATATCCAGTTTATAATGGCTATTTCTGGTTGCAAAGTCTCCTGATATCCCTGGGCAATCACTCAGAATCTTTTGTACTTGCTATCTAAATGTGAGTTAATTTTGTCTTTCTTTTTTATGAGGATCGAGAAGTATGCATTTATCTAGCACCAAAATTTCTGTAATCATACCAAATGTAAAATACAGTCATGTGTTGCTTAGTGATGATAAGCTCTGAAAAATGTGTCAGATGATTTTATTGTTGTGTGCACACACATCAAGTGTATGTACACAAACTTAGATTGTATAGCCTACTACACACCTAGGCTATATGGTATAGCCACCATTGTAAACGCGGCCCATCATTGACTAAGAAGTTATGTGGCTCATTACTGTAGTCAGGTTAAGGAGCTGTGATTGAGATCCAGCTATCATCTACCATAACACATTTGGTTTGGGCAGGGAACAGACAAGTTAAAAAAAGAGACATAATATAGACACTAGCTGTTTTGTGTCCATTAACCCATTTCTTGCTATCCCCTTCACCCTCGCATCCCCACCTCCAGTAACCACAGTTCTGTTCTCTCCTTTTGAAAGTTCAACATATTATTATGATTCTTTTTTTTTTCTCTTTCTTAGTTCCTACTTATAAATGAGAACATACAGTATTTCTCTTGCTGTGCCTGGCTTATTTCATTTAACATAATTTTCTCCAGTCTCATCCATGCGCCTACAAAAAGCAGAATTTCATTCCTTTTTTATGGCTGAGTAGTATTCCATATTTTCTTTATCCGGTCATCGATCAATTGACATTTAGGTTGCTTCCAATTCTTGGCTATTGTAAATAGAGCTGCAATAAATATGGGAGTGCAGATATCCCTTCAACATGATGCATTATTCATTTCTTCATAATATAATTTGAAGTCAGGTAGTGTAATGCCTCTGGCTTTATTTTTTTTACTCAGGATTGCTTTGGCTGTTCAGAATTATTTGTTGTACCATAAGAATGTTTGGATGGTTTTTCTATTTCTGTGAAGAATGTCATGAGTATTTTGATGGAAACTGTAATGAATATGAAGATCACTTGAGTAGTATGGACATTTTCACAACATTAATTCTTCCAATCAATGAACATCGAATATCTTTCCATTTTTAGTGTCCCCTTTAATTTCTTTCATCAGTGTTTTGTAGTTCTCATTATAGAGATCTTTCACCTCCTTGGTGAAATTAATTCCTAGTGTTTTATTTTGGGAGTAGCTATTATAAATGGGCTTGCTTTCTTGATTTCTTTTTCTGCTAGTTTGTTGTGTATGTAAACACTACCGATTTTTGAATATTGATTTAATATCCTACAACCTTAGTAAAAACTCCACCAAAAAAAACCTCCTACTGCTGATAAGCAGATCTTCTTATGAGAATATTTGTGCTAAGTTTTCTAGGACTTCCATTCCAAAGTACCGCAGACTAGGTGGCTTAAACCACAGAAATTTATTGTCTCACAGTTCTGGAGACTAAAGTTTTGAGATCAAGGTGTCTGCAGGTTTGGTTCCTCCTGAGAGCTGTGAGGAGAATTTGTTCCACATCTCCTTGCTCCTGGCAGTGACTGGCAATCTTTGATGTTTTTTGATTGTAGATGTGTCACCTTGATCTCTGCTCTCATCTTCACATGGCATTCTCCCTCTCTGTGTTTGTCTCTGTGTCCAAATTNAGAGCTGCAATAAATATGGGAGTGCAGATATCCCTTCAACATGATGCATTATTCATTTCTTCATAATATAATTTGAAGTCAGGTAGTGTAATGCCTCTGGCTTTATTTTTTTTACTCAGGATTGCTTTGGCTGTTCAGAATTATTTGTTGTACCATAAGAATGTTTGGATGGTTTTTCTATTTCTGTGAAGAATGTCATGAGTATTTTGATGGAAACTGTAATGAATATGAAGATCACTTGAGTAGTATGGACATTTTCACAACATTAATTCTTCCAATCAATGAACATCGAATATCTTTCCATTTTTAGTGTCCCCTTTAATTTCTTTCATCAGTGTTTTGTAGTTCTCATTATAGAGATCTTTCACCTCCTTGGTGAAATTAATTCCTAGTGTTTTATTTTGGGAGTAGCTATTATAAATGGGCTTGCTTTCTTGATTTCTTTTTCTGCTAGTTTGTTGTGTATGTAAACACTACCGATTTTTGAATATTGATTTAATATCCTACAACCTTAGTAAAAACTCCACCAAAAAAAACCTCCTACTGCTGATAAGCAGATCTTCTTATGAGAATATTTGTGCTAAGTTTTCTAGGACTTCCATTCCAAAGTACCGCAGACTAGGTGGCTTAAACCACAGAAATTTATTGTCTCACAGTTCTGGAGACTAAAGTTTTGAGATCAAGGTGTCTGCAGGTTTGGTTCCTCCTGAGAGCTGTGAGGAGAATTTGTTCCACATCTCCTTGCTCCTGGCAGTGACTGGCAATCTTTGATGTTTTTTGATTGTAGATGTGTCACCTTGATCTCTGCTCTCATCTTCACATGGCATTCTCCCTCTCTGTGTTTGTCTCTGTGTCCAAATTTCACTTTTTATTAGAACACCAATCATATTAGGTTAAGGTCACCCTAATTCACTTAATTTCATTACCTCTGTAAAGACCCTGTCTCTTAATAAGTTTGCATTCTGAGGTACTGGGGATCAGGATTCCAGCATATCTTTTTCTTGGATGACAAGATTCAACCCATAACAACATCAAATCCCAAGTTATGGGTGAGTGCCTCATGTCAAAAAAATCTTTAATCTCTAGACTAATGTTCTGCCACCCTCTGTTAATACCTTCAAGATCCACTTCCATAGTGAGGTGCTCTTGGGGTTTCTACTGATGTATATTAGCCAAGTCCTGTGATTTACTCCTACGTGTCATTTCCTCCTAGAGCCAGATTGGACTTTCTGGAAGCGAGTCTCTGGTTAGCTGTTTGGAAGCCATTTGGAGTATAGGAGGAAGCTCATGAGGAGAACAAATGTTATTGCATGACGAGTTCTTCTAATGAGGTAACAGCATGGTGTTTATGCACAGGACCACTGTCCTTCTCTTTCTAGGCAAAGGAAGGTAGTTGTGAAAACCCAGAAGGTGCAAGATAATTTTTTGAGTTATGACTCTCACACTTTCCCACACAAATGTTCCTATTTTAGCTCTCAGATTCCCACTCTTTTCCTATTAAAATACTGACTTCAACTAAAAAACCCGGTGAGGCTGCACATTCATTTTTCCTTGCATTTTTATTATAAAATCCTGGACATGTTTAGAGCACAATCTCTGTCTGCAGATGTGCTGACAGTAGCCATGGGGGCTCTATATTGAATTCATGTCCAGAACACATACTAGACAGAATGTATCTAGGGAGGCCCCTAAATTCGATATAAATCACTTTTCCTATTTTCCTTGTCTTGAGTTAAAAGATGACCCTTGCAATAGCAAAACTAAACTGCACCTTCTGTGCAATGATAAGCTACTTAAGACTGATTTCAACTTGAAATTTACAGTGTAAAAAAATGTGATGCTTGCATGTCACTATAGTTCATTGTGGAAATTCACAGTCTTATATTCCCTCACACACACACACACACAAAAGATGATCATTTTCTCAAGGTAAAACAATTCAGATGCTCCAGGTGTAAAAAAATATAAACTCAGAAACTTTAACATAATTTAGTAATTTATAAATATAAATGGAAGTCCCAAATAAACAAAAAAACTTAAGCTTAATTATCTACATGGAAAAATACAAATAAGAAACCAAATTGAAATCAGAAAAATTTTTAGTGATTAGAGACTGTGGTGTTGATGGATAGTCACAATGTGCATTGCCGAAATATACTATTCATTTAAACATTGCCATCTTCTCTATTCAAGTTGCTCTCTTCTGGATTGTATTGAAAACTCCCTAGCATAATTTATAGCTGTGATGCAACTATTTCTCTTTCAAAGCCTTAAAATATCCCTTTGAGCCATACATTCTTCATTGAATCTGCTAATATTTTCAAATTTTCTACCATTATGTAACTGCATTCTTTGTTTCTACTCCACATGAATATCTCTACCTTAATTTGAGCTATCTATGCTATAATTATAATAGCCCTATATTATAAACAATACTAGAATTGTTATAATTCAGGAGAAACTTTACTGCACCCCCAAATTTAACTGGGATCAAAGTAGGAGCAAAAAGTAAATTTTAAAGAAAGAATATGATATGAAAACAATTCCAACAGTGAGAACCTACCTAAAATCAGGGACTCTTCCAGAGGAGGGAATTTTTTCTCCACAATTTGTTACTTTTCTAGAAGGATCTCAGTAAACACATGATAAAATTTCAGAGTATAATCAAAAGAATTGGAAAAGAGATTGCCTAGGTTATACAAGAGTACTTCAAAAATTTCATGAAAAAAATTCGTATTATTTTTTTATTTTATTTTTCCACAAAATTTTGAAGTACCTTCGTATATACTGTCCCTTAGAACATGAAGTTTCCACAGTTATTTGAAACTGGTGCTTTCTGCTGAGTTAGGAAGATTAACTAAGTTGATGATAAGACATGATAAGGCCAAAGTGTCTAATAAGGGAAACAGTTTGGAAGCGGAGAAACCTATCAAGCTGCAGATATAAACTTTGTGTGTACACGTGAATAACTATTAAGAGAGAACTCCAGAAATCAACATGGAGAAGGGCAGAAAAAACAACAGACCAAAACGATAAGTGACACTAAGCAGAGGCAGAGACACGGCAGTGGACAGCATGTAATGCACTGGGCCCTACAAACCTGTTTGTACTTTGTGCTGTCTCTTCTTCTACATAACAATGACTCAGTATTAACCAGTGTATGTGTTCACATTGTCTCTTTGCAGGAAAAAATTCAACCAAGATGTATTTACATTTAATTGTTAACAAAAAGATAACATTCTGTACTGACTTCTTCTAGGTCAATTCAAAGTATGAAGAAGGATTTTAAACCTCCATTCATCTTCTGTCATCTGAGATCAACTTCTTGCTCCATAACCTCCTCATGGTATTTTTCACTTCTACATTCCTCAGTATATGAATCAGAGGGTTGAGCAAAGGTATTACAAGTGTATAAAACACAGCTATCATCTTATCCATGGGAAAGGTGGTTGCAGGGCATGTGTATATAAATATGTATGGACCAAAGAACAGGATGACCACAATGATGTGAGAGATGCAGGTGGAGAGGGCTTTCCTCTTCCCTTCAGCACTGTGGTTCCTCAGGGAATGCAAGATGACAACATAGGAGAACATCAGCATGACAAAACTCACTGTGCAAATGGCACCATCATCGGACACCAGGAGTAGGTTGATCACATAGGTGTCTGAAGAGGCAAGTTTCAACAGAGGCTGCAAGTCACAGAAATAGTGATCAATTACATTGGGGCCACAGAAAGGCAAGCTCAAGGCAAGAAAAATCTGAGCTGAAGAATGCACACAGGACCCCACCCAGGCCACGGCCACCAACACACCATGGACTTGGTGGCTCATGATGGTCATGTACTGCAGGGGCTTACAGATGGCCACATAGCAGTCAACAGCCATGAGGATAAGGATGAAGATCTCCAGGCAGCCAAAGAATTGGTATGAAAAGACTTGGATCATGCACTCACTGAAGGTCTTCTTTGAAAGGGCATCCACAATACTTCTAGGAGCTATGCAAGTAGACAAGCAGGTGTCAGTTAAGGATAAGTAGAAAAGGAAGAAGTACATGGGACTGCCAAGTGCGTGACTGGTCTTAATGGTAACTATGATCAGCAATTTAGCAAACAATGCCCCCAAGTAGAAAAGCAAGAAAGTGGCAAGAACGATTTTCTTCCTAAGATGATACTGTGTCAACCCAAGCAGAATAAACTTAGTCACATTATTATTTAGGTGCATGATTTCATGAATGAGAAGAAAGGGAGAGTGTGAAATGGTTTGTCTGCAAAAAATAAAGGAATTAATTGATGACATCCTATGTGATATTAAGAGCTACTTTAAATAAAAATAAATAGTCCTCATCAGGGACATTTTGTCTGTGGTCTCGATAAGTCACTAAAACACTTGTTCCACAATTTTAATGACCACATAACAAGGTGAAGTGTATAGTATCTGTACACAGTATGTGATGATCAAATCAATATTATTAGCATGTTCATCATTATGAAATTTAATTACTTTTTGTGTCCCTTATCCAATTACTCCTTACCCTCCCTCACCCTCCTTTTGTTTAATGTAGATAAAAATAGTATCACAGGGTTTCACTTTCAAGAACAAATCCTTTTATCTAGATCTTTTTTGTCAAGATGACATCGGAAGGGACATATATGCAAGGAAAAATAGGTGCATAATCTAAAGTATAATTTAAATATAACCTGGAAGACATAATTAGCCCATTGTTTTCCTCCCCAATCCATCCACACCTTCAATACATCGTGTTGAAAATTATAAGTTGGCCGGGCCGGCCCGTGGCTCACTCGGTAGAGTGCGGTGCTAATAACACCAAGGCCCCGGGTTCGGATCCCACATAGGGATGGCCGGTTCGCTCACTGGCTGAGCGTGGTGCTGACAACACCAAGTCAAGGGTTAAGATCCCCTTACCGGTCATCTTTAAAAAAAAAAAAAAAAAAACAAAAGAAAATTATAAGTTGGCCAAAGCACAGAACATAATAAATAAAATTGACCCAAAATTCTTCTTATATATATTTCTTCCTCACTTGTGGAAAATTTTCTTCTTTTCAACATACTTGAAATATACCTTTTCTTATTTGAAATAAAAAAAAATACTTTTGGGAAATGTCTGATGAAGTTACTCACTTTGGGTATCTTCGGACTCTGCATCTTTGGTAATGATATTAAACTATAAGAGAAATGAGTTGGTATCTTAATCACCACAATAAGCTCATTCCTTTCTTTATTCATGTATAAGAGTGATTCACCATGAAATATTTGTACTTGATATGTGGTTTTGGAGGATTTGGATGCATCATAATGAGAAAGTTGTTTTCACTAACAATACTCCTTGATTTTGGCCACTCCTTTGACAGTAGAGCTTTTGGTCTGTATATTGGTAATTCCATTAGACTATTCATATTTAAAACAACCTTATTTATCTTATACATTCAGACATAGATTTTTATTATGAATTAAGAATCAAAAATACATACGATTTAATTAACTTAGTAATATTGTAGTTCTTCATCAAATATTTAATCAGTAGTTTAATCAAGAGTCGTTAACTTCCTTCCTTCCTGGAAATCCTTTCCATTTCTAATTATTTCAATAATCTTGAAAGGTCAAAACCCAGCTATGGAGAAACTGCTTCTAAGATACCTTCAATGATTGTCCTGTGATGCAGGAAATTATCTCTGCTCCTTCCTAAGGTCTTTCCTTACATCTTTTCTTATACATTATATTAAATTGCTTAAATGCAATTGTTTGTGTGCTTTTTGAGCTTTCTTCCTGCAATAAGAATTTTGGAAATCTGTGTGTTCTCAGAATATTATTTTCCACTGTACTAAATCCCGTGTCTAGTATAATGTCGGTTTAATGTTTTTAAATTAATATCTTGTCTTACCTCAAATGTAGTAATATATCTGAATAGTGTACTAATATTCTGATTGCAAAACTCATTTATATAATTAATTTACTGGAGCTTTCTATTGTGTATGGTAGACTGAAAAATATGTGGCTCATTTAAAAAAAAAGCTATTTTAAATAATTTAGTGTGTCAGCTCCACAACCTGGAGTAGAAGATGTTGTACCCTGTACAGCATGACACAGCCATGAAAGACACTGGGACTCTGACTCCATAAAGTGATTATCTTAAGAATTTGTTGTTGTCTTCACCATAATCCTTTGCTCCTAAGGGATGCAAGGAAAGCCTTGACATTTTTCATAACCCCCTGATACTGATGCACATCATGTGGATGTCTATGTATGGGACTCTATGTTCATTTGTTGTTGTTGGTGGTGGTAGTTTTAACACCATTCATGAGGTTCTCAAAGGAATCAGACTCAAAAATGGGTTATAATGGTCTGTAGACCGAGCAGCACCAGTAAAACAGCACATCTTCTAATAATGACTATACTTACTTCAGCTCTTCAAAGAAAATGAGATAACTTTAGAATGGCTACATTGACCAAAACAATAGCAAACAGACAATGTGTCGGTGTTGGAGGTAACAGTGAAGAGCTTAAAGTAAAGTAATCATGAAAAGGTATAGGATGGATGAGGGTGGAACACGGAGTATTAGGCGGCTCTCTATGCTTCTGTGTTGGGTTGCAGATGCCACAGAAAGAATCATTGCTTCCCTCAGGGACTCTCCCTTAAACACCCCAACCCTCTCTAAATCAGTGACAATAGACTTCTGTCTTTGGGAGAATCCCTTTACTCACTTTATTTCTATGGGGAATTTACCATTCTCTGTGGAAAGGAAAACAAATGTCCCAAGCTGTTCTATCCATAAAAAGCCCAAATTAAAGAGTGTTGTCATCTACCTACCTTCAGTTCCTCACCTGCTGTAACTGGTCTCATGATTCTCGCTATGTGGTCAGGAGATGCTCTGGAAAACAACCTGGGCTGAGGAACAAAAGGTCTTCATAAAACTTAGTACGCATTATCTATGTTTCCTTTATCTCGTCTCCCCAAATATCATAAAATTAATATTTAATTATTCCTCTTTCTTAGTCTTACTGGAAAGAGAGCAGGAGCATTGTGCAGGGACAGGCGTAGATAAGATGACATGTGGAAGAAAGTTGGTCAGGGTCAAATACTGAGGAAATGGGAAGATTTTTACCCAAAATATTTTCAACAATGCCCCTACCACATGTATGATATACTATCTATCGATATTTGTGTCTAGATTCCCCATTTTCATATTTACTCCCAACATTCTCTGAGGAGTCATCATTCAACTTTTCAAACTAAATCTCGTTTGCGCATGAATTGAAAATTACATTCTAATGACACCATTTGAGAAACATGCATGTAGTAATAAATCTATGTTGTGATATACAATATTGTATTCAAATCTGTGACTAGGAAATGGAACAGTTGGTATTCTACAAGAGCCTTATTATTTATAAAGTATAATCTTTTCTTTATTTGTTCATCAGGAATAACCTCTTCTGAGACTTCTGGTAGACATAGCTCTTGATGAGGATTTATCTTGCCCAGCTACCTTACATAAAAAATAATAATAATAATTACAAACTCTTATTTACTCTGCCATGTATAGAACCTGTTATGACTTAAGACACGGAATGTACTCTTCTCTCCTTACACAACAGCAATAGCTTTTCATATACCTGGTGCTTCTAAAATATTTGCTGAGTTCAAAAGATTGTTTTATTCCAAAACCTATATTTCATTGCATTTATTTTCTATATTAACAGTAAACCTTTAAAATCTTTGAGTTATTTATTTTTTCCTGTTCCTCTCCTAGAGGATATGGGAACAGTACAGTCAGAAGAAATCAGAAAATATATTTTAAAAGTATATTGGATCAATCAGTAATGGTGACTCTCTGAGCTCAGAATAGAGAAATAATCTGTCACTTACCAGTCACAAGACTCTAAATTAGTGCCAAAATTTTTCATTCCTTTTTGAAAGCAGCCTTTCCAGATAATACTCAAAAAAAAAAAAAAATGTGCTTCTTCTGCATTCCAGAGGGAATATGTTTACATGTAATGATGTAAGATATTTCCATCCTACCGGGTTTTATTCCCTAAAGTTTCCCTTTTTTTGCTAGTCAAAAACGTCTCACAGGTAGTAATAAATTTAACTTTTGGTGTGTCTATTCAGTCTATAAGAATACCTAGTTAACCCTACTTGCTAACCCTATTCAGTAACCAGATATGAACAAAAGAGTGGAGGTATTAGGAGCCTCAGACACACCAAAGGTGTCAGAGAAAAAGAGGAAAAATACAAATGGATGGTGGAGAGAGTGACAGAAAACAGGAAGAAGGAAAAATAGTGATATTGGTTAAAAAAAAAGTGGATCATGAAGAAACAACTCTGTTTCCACACAGCACCCTAAATTGCCACTCCCTGAATTAGGAAACAAACTTTTCTAGCATTAGCAATACAGGTGTAGCATATTTGCAAGTACAGTCCAGGGAAGGCTGTGTGGTGTCTGAAACCGGAGGTTTGATTCTGTGGGCTACAGGCAACCCCCATCAAAGAACCACAGATTTACAGCAAGTGGAGCAAGTGGTCTGAGGATTTATATGTATAACAAGCACTGAATTTCATATTGTTTCAAATTCATTTCCATTTGTTTCATTCACCCATGTTAGTAAAAAGACATTTATTAAGCAATACATTTTACTGAAATAATTTTACTTCACCAAATATTTTTTTAATTTTTTTTTAATACATTTTACTGAAATAATTTTACTTCACCAAATATTTTTTAATTTTTTTTTAATAAATCAGTATCAAAATGTTTATATAATAGCTTCAGTGTTTATCACTTTCTAATAAGTTACATCTTTTAATTTACATAACTATCCCATGTGGTAGGTACTAATACTAACTTTTCATATAAGAGAAAACTAAAAGTCACAGAAGTTAAACACCTTGCCCAGGTTCCATGCTCAGTAAGTTCAGTACTGAGATCTGTACTAATGACTGTCTTATTCTGTGTTTTCCTCTTTACACGCATTTTCCTTACACGAGCCTAAATTGAAAACCAGAGAGTACTAGAAAGTGATGAGGATGAAGGACACTTCTAATGGCTAAGTATTGGTATCTCAGGTAGAGTATCTTGAAATTAAGAGTAAGCAATGAAGACTGGTTGAAATTTAGGTAGCCATGAAATTTAGGTCGATATACAAATAAAAATGTTCAGTACAGAGTTGAATTTTTTTAAGTATAAGTTTCAAGTCAGTAGGGCAGAACTCAATATGAAAATCATTATCTGTACATGATAGTTCAGATCATGACATTGCATGAGGTCACCTAAAGAAAACAGGTGAGCCAACAACAAAATGCAGGGTCACGCCAACATTTAAAAGAATCCCTCAAGGATCTCAAGAAGTACGTCCAAAGAATCATGATAAGATAATGAAAGAGTAATGATTGGAACCCAAGAGAATAGACTTTCAGGAAGGAATGCATTAGTTTTCTGCATAAGAAGACCACATAGCACTAGTGTATGAAACTCACACACATGCAAGTCCTAATTGAAAGATCAATGACTAGAGAACTTTAAAACAGGAAAATTTTGCACAACGGCTAGAAACCAGAAAAGAGTTCTTATTCTGCACCTCAAACTCCTGGCAGGTTCTGTAAATTGTAAGCACTTATTGAGAGCAGCAATCATGTCTATCCTGTTCTTCAGTATATCTACCATAGTATTTATAAAAAGCAATTTATAGTGTGCAACTAATAATCAATCATTTAGTAAGTTAACGAATGAAGAAAACTGAAAGCAAAAGTAACAATTCATAATTA